ACGAAAAGAGTGACACCCCCCTCCCTTGAAAAAAGCATTTTACTATGATTGTATCGTATATTATTTTCTTATAACATAAAGGGGACGGATAAATTATGTCAGTTTCAACTAAACGTGTAATAGATCCAAAGTTGCTCGCTATTTTGGGTTTGTTCCTTTGTTTGTTTGTTTGCTTGCTTGCTTGCTTGCTTGCTTGCTTGCTTGCTTGCTTGTTTGCTTGCTTGCCTGCTTACTGCTTGTTTGTTTGTTTGTTTGTTGTGTTTTTTGTGTGTGATTAGAGGGAGTGTCAAAATAGAAGGGAGGCAAATATGGTCAGATGTCCTGTGGGTTACAACATTTGGAGAATTAGTCATCGTGTGTTTTGTTTGAATCTTCCTTGGTGAATTAATTTTTTTTTCAAATATATCTAACAATCTGCTGTGTAGTTGTAACACTCTTAGATCAATTTAGCCGAGAAAGGCGAAACACCGTCTATGGTGTAGAGTAATATATAATTTAAATTGCTGTGTACACCTGCATGTCTTTTTACGGTCCTGTACAGCCAAGAAAAATTTCCCTCTGGAATAATAGAGTATTTTCTTACCTTTATCTTATCTTATCTTAGAAGTAGCGGTAGCGGTTAGACACTTCGCTGTCGCCTGTAGGAGACTCGAGTTCGATGTCCGACTGGAAGGAATTTTACTGGCGGACGGGGTCTTTCTGTTGGGATGTTGTATCCCTCTCAGCCAGGGTTGGTCCTGACAGCCAGGGTCTAAGCCCACGCCTCTAAATGATCTAAATTCTGTCGATGGCGTTGTAAAAATCATTTAAATGAAAAAGAGGAAGGCCTGAGGTCAATGCGCCCCCCCCCCCCCAAAAAAAACGCCAAAAGCAATACCCAAAAGTATCGAAGTGCTGGATCAATGCTGTATTTAGCCGTTGTACTTACTTTACTTCTTCATCCCCTGTTACTGTATATCGTCTTGCGTAGATGCAGTTCTCTAAAGCCTGCCAGTTCTGCAGCACTTTCAATTGGGATGTTGTAGTTTAGGGGCCTTTATGGTGATACAAACTGATGCGGAAGCTTCCATTAACATTTCCAAGGATGTTTCAGTTCACCCCGACCTCACTTTTCATGTATTTGCACAAACTGAAATATCTTCAGAACTGACTCAAATGAGGTACAATTACTCTTCAATTAGAGGGGTATCATCAAGAACACAGGAGACACACACAAAGAAAGAAGAAGCGTGGCCTCAGAACTCAGAACACCCGAAAGACCATAAAACCATACTAGATCTATGTGAAGAAGGTATTATCACGCGCTTTTAAGTAAGATTTGTACATAATATACTAAAATTGTATCTTAAGCATATGTTTATCTTCTTTTTTTTTAACATGACAGAGAAACCGTCCAAATATTTTAGTCTGGCCATTATTATGTAACACCGTAGAACGATCCCCAGCCCGGCATGACTCAGAGAAGATAATGTTTTTTTGTAAATTGTAAAGAGTATCGAATATTATTTGGAAAGCACTATTCCCAGTGACACTGGGAACAGACAGGCCCATTAGATCTAGCCTATTGTTCCAACACTGATCTACATGGGCATGATGGTGATGGGTTACTATATACTAAACTGTATCTAATTCAGATCTAGATTGTAGATCTAAATAAACTTAAGTAGATTCTGGCGTGAGTGGGAGATTTTTTTTTTAAGAAAAAGGAATGATCATTCTATGTTTGCTTGTTATTCAGTCGCAATTTAAATGTACGTCTAGATCTAGATCTACCTACGGATTTCGGAGACCACGGTACAGGACAGACAGAAATCCTTCCCGATTCTTCTTCCTTAAACTAGATCTAGTTCTAGATCTGTTCTACGGTCAAGTCTAAGCCCTAAGTAAGAGAAGAGAACAAAAGTAGGCACTGAACTGATAAGTGAGAAGAGAGTCTTTCAAGGCTACAGTAAAAAGCAGTCTGATTTTTTTTATGCAAAAGAGTTCCCTTGTCACTGGAAATAGTCTCTGTACCTATCCCCAGTGTCCCTGGGAATAGTCACTTCGATACTAATTACAGATATTATGGCTATTGGCTAT